ATGTTCCATGTGCAATTGAGAAGAATACACATTCTCCTACAAGTGGGTAGGATGTTCTGCAGATGTCTCTTAGATCTTTTTATTTATACTGTTCATGTCTTTCATTTATTTGTGATCTTCTTCCTACTTGTTCGATTCCATTATTGCAGGCTAAGTATTGAAGTCTCCACCTATTACTATTGAATTAACTTTTTTCCTCTTCAATTCAATCCGTTCTTTTAGGCTCTGTTTTTATATGCATATAATATAACTGTTTTATCTTTTTAACGGATTGACCCTTTAATCACTATCAAATGTCTCCTTTTGTATATAGAAATACCAATTAAGAAAAAATAGTATTAGAATATAATAGAACAAAATTTACATTAAGATAGGTAAGAACTTGGTTCACAAAAGACTGAGGAAATTGTACTTTCACCATGATTTAGAACTCTTGAGGTCTTCACTACAATTAAGGAAGGTGTTTGTCCTTATTGAGGACCCCAACATTTCTGTGATAACCTTAAAATTACTTTGTCTTGCTTCTCATTTTAGAAGCTCTGGAAGTTTTGTTCTTGTCCTAGCCTTCGCCCCAGCCCCCCATCCTATTCCAGGAATATTTACTAGTAGGTTGGTAAGCTAGTTCTAAACTTTGAAAAACTTTATCATGCTCACTATCACAATATATGTGATCTAGACTTAATCTTTAAAGATGGCCCTAATGATGAGAATCAGTATAATGACCACTCCCAGAAACAGAGTATCATTTCTCTTTTTTCCATGCTTGTTGGATCCAACACTAAGACCATATCTGCATTTGACAGATGACTGAAATACCCTAATCTAAATTCACTATCAAGTAGTCCCAGACTTAAGACTACATGTTCTGCTCACTTTATTAGATTATATAAAATACTTCTGACTAACTTATTTCTAGAGGTTAACCATAGAAAAACACTTTCCATCTATGGTGGTTGACAAGAGATAATTCTTGTCAACACTAAGAATTATTTCAAACAGTGAACTCCACAAGTGTACTTAAAACATGACTCATGATTTTTAAAATTCTGCAGACTTCTTGTAGAGTATTTCTCTAAATGACTTTAATTACCCTATCTTCTATTGCTCGGTTTCAAATTTCCCTTTTTTGAAGAATTAGGAGGTGAGAAGGAGGGTACAGAAACTACATACAATTAGGGGATTTATTTTTAAAACTAATTTTTATGTTTCAGTCAAAGTAATATTGCTCTTAGTTTGAAAGTCAAATAGAACTAAAGACTTAAAGTGAAATAGAGGGACAGCCTACCTCACTTCTTCTCATCCTTCAGATTACTTTAAACTCTTATAGATGTTTCTTCTGGCAATTACCAAACCCTGTATTTCTTAAATACTATATAAATATATATATATATACACACACTAATATTTCAATTTTACATTATCTATGGATTTCGTATTACAGTAAGTGAAGATTCAGTTCTGTAAGCATCACTCCTTTACTACTATGCTTTTGATAGGGCTTTAATGCTACTTTTGGTTAAAATGATATCTATGGTTGGCATAATTATGACCATATAAACACTGATGACTGTCTTTTTGGTCTTCCTGGAGTTTATAAACTGCTTAGGTAAAAAACAGTTGTTGGGTTTTCCTTTTTTGTTATTTTTTTAAATTTATTTTTTAATTTTTTGCTCAAATCATGATAATTAGTATATTCAATATTATACAATGTTATTGTTTTTTGTGACCCTTTCAATTGCTAGGTTTTCTGTGTATCACTAATTTTTCTCAAACAAGAGAATATAGTGGTTCCCACAGTGTGGTCTCCAGACAAACAGCATCAGCATCATCTGAGAACTTGTTAGAAATGCAAATTCTCAGGCCCCACCCCAGACCTATTGAGTCAGAAACTCTGAGAATGGGGTTCAAAACTCTGTATTTTAACAAGCCCTACAGGTGATTCCGACACATGTTAAAGTCTGAGTACACTCTAATAAAACTGTGCCCCCCTCCCCCACCAGCCCTAGACAATAGTGTCTTTTATGTGGTCCAACATACTTATTAATCTATCAATTCTCTTTCTTTTTCCAGGGGTCTTCCCTCATTGTGTCCTCTATTGTTTATTTCAATATGGATTGGCTGATCTCTAGATCTGCTACACAGTTACAAAGGTATGTGTCCTGGGATTTCTATCTGCTATGATCCCAAGGACTCCCTCCTTTTCTTTGTTCCCGTGCTGAAGACCCTATTTCCCTGATCTTATGATTTCCTCTTTCTTGGTTTATGGCTCATTTGGTGGAATAGTAGTTTCCTGCTAAAGGTGCAGGGAAAATCAATTTTTGAGACTTTGGAATATCTCAAAATATCTTTATTTCATTGTCATATTTTATTAAAAGATTGGCTGGGTATAGAACCTAAGGCTCAAAGTAATTTTCACAAGGAATCACGAAGAGCATTGTTTCACTGTCTTATAATGTATAACCTCTTGTGAAGGCAAATGTCATTCTAATTCTTAATTTTTGGTATATAACTTCACTTACTCTCCAACCCCCATCCTCTTAAGGATGATTTCATCTCTTGTCAGGATGACGATGTACACCTTGGTGAGGATTTTATTTTGTTCCCCCATCTCCATTTGGTATGTTTGGTATTCAGTGATCCCTTTTCAATCAAGAGACTTGAAACCCTCTCTATGAAAATTTTTTATATTCGTTCTTTGATAATTCTCCCTCTCTGTTGTTCTGTTTCCTCTTTCTGGAACTCATATTAGTCAATGTTCAGTCTCCTGGGTTGGTGCTCAAATTTTCTCTTCTCTTTTTCAATTCTTTATCTTTTTCTTCTATTTTGTAAGAATTTTCCTCAACTTTACAGACCAACCCTTCCAAAAAGTACTTTTTAAAAAATTCTTACCTTTGTAATTGTTAATTTCCAAGAGTCCTTTCATATCAGAGATAAAATTATTTTTCTTATTAAGGACATTAAGTATAGTTTTCTTTTGCTTCCTGTGTTGTCTGAGTTTTTATAATTTGCATGTTTTGGTCTCTGTTTTTCATCTTGGAGGCTTTTCTCAAATGTGTGGAGATCTTGCTATCTGTTCATATTTAAGAGTTAGGTATTGGGAGCTCTGTATGCACAAGCAAGGTTTTTCCACTAGTGGACTTAATTGAAGGGTGATGCAGTAGTAAAACAGCTTTTTTATGGTGGACTTCCCAAAATCTAAAAGTTCCTTTCTCCATCACCAGTTTCTCCAGAGTTCCCTTCTGATTCTGTGTCAGAAAATAAATGTCCAGTGATAGGTTTTCTGCAAACAGGGTGAGAGAAGGGGGCTGGGGATTGCATCTGTCAGTGTACAGACTTTCATTTAGTCCCTGGTTACCAGAGTTCTTGGAGATAAGCAGAACAATGAGGTGATCAGATCTTAATAATCAGTATTTACATTTCTACTTTATCACTTTATTTTTTTAATTGAAACATAATTGATTATACATGTTTATAGGGTACAGAGTTGACTATCAGTATTTGAGACAATATGTGATGATCAAATCAGTATTGTTAGCATGCTCATCATTGCAAATTGTAATTATTTGTGTTCATTACTGAATTTCTTCCTAACTTTCCTCCCCCTCCCCCTTTCCCACTTCTAGTAACCATAGATCTATTCTCTCCTTCTATGATAATCACTTTATTGCCAGGACAATACTCCTATCTTTTGCTGAATCTGTGTTCTAGATTCAGGAATACCTGTATATTCAACTGAGTCAACTCTCCAGTGCAATTTCCACAGAAAATGAGCTTCCATTCTCTTTTGGGGAATGTAGGTGGGGTAGCTGAGTGCATGTGAGATGAAGGATCAGGAGACTGGAAGTTTTATAACTTCTTCCAATAATTTTTCCCACATCCGAACAAAGTATTTTTTTCTCTTAAAGCAAACTATTTATTGTGAAATTAAAATGTAACAAAGAATTTCTCAAAATAATTCTCTAATTCCATAAAGATATATAAATCTGGATGATTCAATAGGTTTCAACATTTCAGTCCCAAGTTAAAAGCTACAATTTTAAGTAGTATTTTGCAAGACTGGGAAGAGCGTACGTTATAAAAAAGGAGAGAATCATGATGAAATAAGTTACAGGGAGAGAAAAGAAGGAAGAGCTGGGAGGCACTAAGAAGCATTAGATTTTAGTATCAATAATGGAATATTCCAATATGATCTCTGAAAGAGAAAATTATTTCCCTGCATACAAATGTTTGAAGAAATGATCTGAAAATGTGCCACAGCCACAGGATTTACTTCACATTGTTTTATAACTTTAGCAAAAATAAGCACAACTAGATTAACTTATTTTTTTCACAAAGGCTTTTTTTGGTAACTTAAAAAATTTTCTTAGGAATATGTTAAAAGAATAACATTCACTATCAACCACAGTAATGAACAACTCAGAATTCCTTCTAATGAGTTAGTCATTATAAATGGAGCAACAATTAATAAACCACTATATGAAACAAACCACCCTGCTCCTGGGTCTATAAACAATTATGCTGTGAAATGTTCAAGTCATGTTCAAGCATTAATAGTTCAAGTCATGTTCCATGTTTCTCCCCTAAGTAAAAAACTTTTTCAGTACTAGAAACAAATTTTGTCAAATACTGCTTAAATGAAGGGGCCAATGTTTAGAAGGAGACTTTGTTAGACAGTAAGTTGCCATTATTGCACAACATCAGAATGTGATTTTTACCCACATGTCTTTTCTTAGAAGATTCCAGCAGTTCAACTGCCTTTTTTTAAATTAACTTTTTTTTATTGTATATGTTTAAGGGATACAGTTTGTTGTTTTGATACATGCATATTTTATATAATTATCCAATCAATATAATTAGCATATCTATCACCTAAACATTTATCATTCTACTACTTTTTAAAAATTACTCAATTAGGTAACTATTCTTTGTTATATAGTAAGTTATTATATAACTTCAGAAAGCATATTTTATCTAGCTGAGGGAAAAAATGTATTACTTACACTTTTCTTTATTGCCATTGGTATTATGCAAGAAGTCTCCATCAGAACGTGTTGTAGGAAAGTCATCTTCATCATCTTCCACCACTAAATAAAATACACATAAGGATAGTAGGATGAAAATAAATAGAACTTAAATCAGTTTATTTGTATATTCAACTGAGTCAATATACTCTTCATTCTGTGAGTACAAGATCTTATTCATCTTTGTATTTTCATTGGCTATCAAGGTATGCTCAATAAATATGCTGTGAAATGTCTTTAAATATATTAATTTAAAACTATATCCATTCTCACTTGAGTAAGGAAAGCCTCAAGTTATAAATTAGTTTACCCTTTAGTCTTCCTATCTCTTCCTACCTCTCTTGGGGCCATTTCATAACTCTACAAGAGGCCTAGAAGGGCTGAGCGGGACTGTAAAATGATACCTAACATGCAGTGGATACTTTAGCTTGCCTCTGGGAGTTCTTAAATCTACTATTTTGGATATGCAGGGAAAATATAATGATTTGCAGATATGATATCAATTTTTATTCATCCCAATGTACTTCTATGCACGGACACCCCTTTTAACTTCTCTTATTCCAGAAGAAAACAGAATCCCTTGTGTTTTCCTTTTGTATACCATTCCTCTAAGTACTATCTCATTTTCTACTGCTAACATACTGTAGTCCTCTGTACTATGTATTCCACTCATAATGCAAACTCAGCCCCCCAAACTTTTCTGCTGATTTTATCAAGCTTTTTATGGCTTATTTAGTTTACTATCTTTTGAGCAACTCCTTTTCTACAGAAGTCACCTACATTCTAATGTCTTGCTTATTGCCTGTATCTCTTTACATCAGGAATACTTTGGTTCCACAATGAACATCTTATCCACTTTAGCTCTCTCTCCTGTGGATGCAGAGCCCAATTTGATACCTTCTTCTCTTCCTTGACCAAATGGTAGAAATCACCATGGAAAATACCTGACTCTGTACTGCCATTTTCTAATTACTGGACTCTTTCATTTTTTCATCACTTGTAAATTTTGCTACTCATTTGTATCAATAACCTGTTATTATTTACTAATACATTGTATTCTTTTCTACCTGGCTGAATGACATCAATATCCAATTGACATTTTTCTTTTCCACTTCCATCATTCTTACAGACTTAAATATACATACCAAAGCCTCTGCAGACACCTTAGTCCTAAGATTAACCACTTTGCCAGATTCTATGGATCTTCATTTCCTTATCAATCATTTACAAATATGATTGATTCTAAGAAATCCATTAACACAGTGCACTGCTCCGTTTTAAAATCAGTACTCATCATCAGACAAGATCCTGATCTTGACTCAATACTACTTGATTTACCTGCTCTTAAATATTACTGAATGGCTTGTACTTCACTCACCTCATTAAGTATCTACTTTGTGTTACAAAAGATTCACTTTGTTATCCTTAATGGTTAGCTCCTCCTATGTTTTCTTCATCATCCATGATATATATTCTCAATTTTGTAATCTCCAAGCAAGCCTACAAATGACACATTACTGGATCACCCATGTATGCTTGTCCCTGTACCTTCAACTTCAGAATTGCTAAATAAAGCTCTATAAATAAAAAGACCAATCCCACATAAAAAAAAAAAAAAAAAGTTTCTTGCTCATTTCTCTCTTAGGCTGGTTAACACAGAATATTAATTTAAAAAAATTACCACTAAAAAGGAATATTACTCTTCCTTGCAATATTACTCTTCATGGAAGGCATCAATGCATAATAAAACCAATCCGGAAGAGTTATTAGGTTGTAGGTTGGTTTTGAACAAGTATATTTGTTACCACAGAATTTAAATCTTCTGCCTTTTCTTTACCTTTATTTTCCCTGCATCTTTTGCTTTGGGATATAAACCATGCTTACTATATCAATTGAAGTTACAACGCAACTATCCCTAAATTAGTTCTCTGGCATAATGACACAAATACGACCTTCAAGTACCTTTTAAGATCCTTACCTCACTTCCCAGGGTCTTTTCGAATTTCCCCACTTTTTTTTTTTTTTTTGCATCTTATCAATAAAAAATTAATGCAGCTTACTACCCAGCCCTCACTTCTACCTTTATGCACATTTTCCTACAGCAACATATATTTCATTATGTTTGTTCCAGATTTTATGAGGGACTTCAAAAAGTTTGTGGAAAAATAGAATTAAAAGATAAAACAAATCTTTCCATGAACTTTTTAACTCTCAGATCTATTCTAACAATATGCTTCCACTGAAATTCCTATTTGCCAACTTGGAACATTCTTGATGAATCTCCCATCTTTTTAATCATGTCTCTATTTTATATTTGTTTTAAAAATCAGATTTCCTTTTGTTCTTTAGCTATGGGAGTCCTTTCAAGTCTCCTTCCTCAGATATTTGTTCTTTCACTCCAGGGGAATTTATCTACTGCTATGACTTCAACTATTTTTTTTATACTAATGACTTCTTACATTAGCACCAGCCTCATAACTCTGCTAGAATTCCTCCAAAGAAATGTCTACTACTAAAACTCAAAATATCTAAAAGTAGCTCCATAAACAGACCAGCTGTGCAAACACTGCTACTTAGCTTCTTTCTATGCAGTTCTCTCCTGCAAAAAGGGTTTAATACTAATATCTACATAATAAGCCTATTATAAAATTGTATCAGATAATTAATGTATTTAACATAGCACACAGTAAATTTTTATACTATAAAACAGTATAAAAATTAATCATGGTGACTTTCCTTTATTGTGTTTCCTCTCTATTCTTCATGCTTGATCCAGAGGCTCATTTACTGATGCATAGATTACTACAACGGTTTATTACATGATTTTCTTCTATCTTAAATATCTCACCATTCCAATCCATGTTACAATCATCTACAATGATTCATCTCTTAAAAATATTAATTTCAACTTGTGTCCTTGCCTAATCAGTAACTAACTTGCCAAATTACCAATGTAAAAGTTAAATCAATTTTTAGATTAAATCCCAACTGCTCTTATATTCAATATTCTCCACCTAATAGCCTACTAGCACCAAACATGGATTTTCAACTTTTTTTTTTTAAGCCCAATATTCAATATATAAAACTGATGAAAACAAGAGCTATCCTAGCTAAAAGAGGGGCCTTTGCCCCTTTCCTTCCTGACAAATAACTCCTTTTGCACACTTGAGGCACCTTTAAGGAACTCTCAGGGATATTGGACATGGTTTGAAACCACCATCCTAATACAAATCCTCCATCCCAATCACATTGGCCTCCCTTACCATAATTCAAATATATTTTGTTAAATCTCATCTTTGGATCTTGTGCATTCCTGCTTCCCCTACCCCTGCAATAACCCAAATTAACCACATGAATAATAGTAGCTATTATTTATTGAGTTTTTGTTGTTAAACACAGTGTTAACATACATGTCCTCATTTAATTCTCACAACCACAGGTGCTGGATATAATATCCATTTTACAGTTGAGGAAACAGATGTTGAGAAATGTTAAGTAATATACTTCAAGTCATTAAATTAATAATGAATAGAAGAGTAAGATTAGAAGAACCTTTACTTTTAATGTGGTATATATATATATCTTGTTTTTAAAATCAAACGATATATTTAGGTAAGAAGTAATGTCCTCTGCTTCTGTAATCCCCAGAGTATCTAGATCTAAAAGGTTAATTAAAGCTTACTGAAGTGTGTATGGGAGTGACAGTGGTGGGAGGTCAGGTAAGACTGACTTACTAGCAATTCTGATAAAACACTTTATATGAAAACTCTGAACACCTAAAACAAATAAAAGAAGAAGTTGGGATTATTATTTCAATGACCCACAAAATGATGAACAATGATTCTTAAAATTCTTTTAGTCATAGACTTAGTTTTGGTAGACTTAGATCAGCAACTCTGATCTACCAAAGTAGGAAACTAGGGCTCATGCTCTTGACCTTTACCCAGCATGTATTCTTAAAAACATCAGGATTTCTTAAACAGCATTTATAGGGAAATCAGTTGTTAGGAACTAAATTGTGTCTGCTCCCCTAAATCCTATGTTGAAGTCCTAACACCCAGTACCTCAGAATGTGACTGTATTTGGAGACAGGGTATGTAAAAAGATAAGTTAAAATGAGGTCATTACGGTGAGCCCTAATCCAATATGACTGGTATCCACTAAAAAAAGGAAATTTGGATACAAAGATTCACAGAGGGAAGATGATGTGAAGACACAGGGAGAAGACAGCCATCTGTATGCCAAGAAGAGAGGCCTGGAACAGATCTCTCTCCCAAGGCCTTCAGAAGAAATGAACCCTGCTGGCACCTTAATCTTAGAACTGTGAGAAAATAAATTCATTGTTTAAGCCACCCAGTCTGTGGTATTTTGTTATGGCAGCCCTAGCCAACTAATACATTAGTCTACACTATTGCCGTTTATTCAAACATAACAGAAAGGACTCAGAGTAATTGCTAAAATTATTTTTCAAATCTTCTACACAACCTGGTTATCACTTTATCACAACTTCTACCTCTTCCATCATCACTTTTATCCTTCAAACACTATTGGTGTGGATCATTTAAAGATAAACAATGAATCCAATTCTGCATGTATCCCATTTTTGTTTAAAGGGCTATTTATAAGCAAAAAAAAAAAAAAAAAAAAAAAAAAAAAAAAAAAAAAAAAAA